TTCCAGAGGAGCAACGTGGCAGACACTCCTATAAAAGTTACTACTGCTAATAGTGGGACTAATTAAGAGTATGTGCTTTCTTCACCGACAAGCACTCAGCAACACTCTGTGGTATTCGTGCCAAAGGACATAACTGCGTCAAATCATGAGGAAACATCAGACCAACCCAAACTGAGGGGCATTCTAGAAAGTACCAGGCCCATGCCCATATTCTTCAAATACTGTTTCAGATGAAAGGGATCAAAGGAGACAGAAGAGACTGAACAGCTAAAATGCGATATATAATCTTGTTTTTATTTTTGCTATAAAAGGATATTATTAGGACACTTGATGAAACTGGGACGAGGTCTGTAGATTACATAAATTCCCTGATTTTGATTATTTTACTGTGGCTATTTAGAGAATTCCTTATTTTTAGGAACTATATAGATGGACAAAGAGAGAAGAGTGAAAAACTGAGAAAGATAAAACAAATGTACAAAAATATTAACATGGGGAATCTGAGTGAAAGGTGATGGAAATTCTTTGTATTACTATCAGAACTTTTCTCCAAGTCTAAAATATGTAAAAAAAAAAAAAAAAACACAAAAAACAAAAAAAACAAACCCCAACCCCACCGTATTTTTATAAAAGATTTTATTTATTTAAAAGAGAGAGAGAGAGAAAGCATGAGTGGGGAGAAGGGTAGAGGGAGAGGGAAAGACTCTCAAGCAGACTCCCTGCTAAGTGCGGAGCCCAATGTGGGGCTCTATCTCACAACCATGAGATCATGACCTGAGGTGAAATCAAGAGTTGAACGTTAAACCAACTGAGCCACCAGGCGCCCCCAAAACCACCCGATTTTAAAGTCATTTAAAAGAATTCTCGGAGTCCATAGTCTCTCATGGTTCACTGAGAAACTGAGGGTTTTGGGGGGGGGTTGGCGGGATGGGTTAACCCAGTGATGGGTATTATGGAGGGCACACATTGCATGGAGCACTGGGTGTTATACGCAAACAATGAATCGTGGATCACTACATCAAAAACTAATGATGTACTGTATGGTGACTAACATAACATAATAAAAAAAAAAATAAAAAAAATAAAAAAAAATAAAAGAATTCTCCTTGTGGTTATGCTTTCAGTTTGTTACCCAGTGAGGCCAATTTGTTTGAATTAGATTTTGACTTGATTTGATGTTTTGATTATATAAAACATATACATGGGTGCCTGGGTGGCTCAGTCTGTTAAATGTCTGCCTTCGGCTCAGGTCATGATCCCGGGGTCCTGGGATTGAGCCTCACATCGGGCTCACTGCTCAGCAGGCAGTCTGCTTGTCCCTCTCCCTCTGCCCCTACCCACCACCCCCCGCCCCACTCATGCTCTGTCTCAAATAAATAAAATCTTTAAAAAAATAAAACATGTATATAATTCCAAAGTCAAAACTGTAAACAAATTCCATTCAGAGAGGTCTAGCTTTTGTACCTTCTCCTTCCCCTTAATCTCTCCTTCCTCTTTTGTAAGTATTTGTATTATTTTTTGGTTTATCCTTCCATTGTTTCGTTATCTTTTATGAAAATAAGAAAATACCTATAAATATTCAAAAGTTTCACATAATAATATGATTGACGGCTCCATAGCAGCATCTCAAGATTTTCAGGGAGATTTGTTTTTGTCTCTGAGAGAGAGACATTTGTGTGCTGATGGGAAAGACCCTGTGGAGAGGAATATACAGCTCCAGGGGAAAGGGATGGGATATAATGTGCAGGTGGGGAGAGGGGTTGGCCCCAGCGACAGTGAAGAAGGCAGGGTCCAGGAGCACCTGTAGATGCAAGCAGATGGGGATGTAGGAATATGAGGAAGTTCTCTTCTGAGTACTTCTGTTTTCTATTTACACTGAAATAAAAGTGATCATCCGGCGGGAGTGGGGAAGGAGAGGGGGTTGTTGGCAACTTGAGAAGTGTGAAGGTGTGAAAAAATATTTTCAAACAATGGGACAATGAATTGACTAAGGCAGTGGTTCTCAAACTTCAGCCTCAGAGTCACACAGATTTGCTGGCTTCCACCCCCAGAGTTTCTGATTCACAAGGTCTGGGATGAGGTCAAGAACATGCATTTCTAACAAGTTCTTGAGTGACGTTGATGTTATTGGGGGGAGCCATGCTTTGAGAACCAACAGACAAAGGAAATACAGCAGGACTGCTGGCAGCACAGAGGCCCACTTGAGGTTTGTGGTCATGAATGTGAAGTGAGAACAATCAACACGATTGGGTGTATACCTAGTAGCCCTCATTTCAGCCAGCAGGGTTCAGGTCTGGAGCAGGTGGTGAGCTGAATTTAACCAGGGTTGGGATTCAGATAAAGAGAGGATGGTGATATCAGTAATAGATGGTGCCAGACAAACGTATCCATTTATTTATGCTTTTCTACTTCTATCTTTATATAAAGAACAAGCTAAGCTACCAATAAAGGAGGAAGAAGATACATGAGAATGAGCTAAGAACAGAAGAGACAGAAAGTAGAAAGCTCAGAATGAATCGGAAAAGGCTCATGGGAGGGAAGAACCAGAAAAAGATTACAGATCTTCCTCAATCTACAATGGGGTCATGTCCCGGTAAATCCACTGTAAGTTGAAAATACTGTAAGTTGAAAATGCACTTAATACACCTAGCCTCCCGAATCTCGTAGCTTAGCCCAGCCTACCTTAAACATGCTCAGAACACTTACATTAGCCTCCGGTCAGGTAGACTCGTCTTACACAAAGCATATTTTATAATAAAATGCTAAGTATCTCAGGTAACTTATTGGATACTATACCCCAGGTGACAAAGAGAATGACTGCACGGGTACAGAGTGGTTATCCGTATAGTGCTTGCTGACGCTCGTGACGGCGTGGCTGACTGGGAGCTGTAGCTCACTGCCACTGCCCAGCCAACACGGGAGAGGATCGGGCCACATACCGCTTGCCTGGGAAAAGTCCAAAATTTGAAGTGCGGTTTCCACTGAATGCACATTGCTTCTACACTGTTGCAAAGTAAAAAAATCGGAAGTTGAACCACTGTAAGTTGGGGACTGTATGTACTCAAATCTGGTCATAGTAGGGTCACCAGGGCACTGAAGATTAAAACAGAATTAGTATTTTGCAAACGGAGGCTAAGGTGTGGAAAAATAGCTAGTATAACATAAAAATATTTGTATTAGATTTAGTGAAACAGAATGCTAATAAATACCTATTTAGTTATATATAAAAAAACTCTGCCAGGATCACCAAAACGTATTTGCACAGCCATGTATATCACAGTATTAGTCACAACAATAGCCAAGAGGTGGAAGCAGCCCAAATGCCCACTGACAGATGAATGGAGAAAGAACATGTGATATATACACATACAATGAAACATTATGCAGCCTTAAAAAGAAGGAAGTCCTGTCACATGCTAGAACATGGGTGAACCTTGAGGATATTATGCTAAATGAAAAAAAGCCAGCCAGAAAAGGACAAGTACAGTATGATTCCACTCAAATGAATTATCTACAATAGCCCAAATCATATAAAGTAGAAAGGTAATTGCCAAGGGGTAGGGAAAGGGAGTGTTCAGTGAGTGCAGAGTTTCAGTTCTGCATGATGAAAAAGTTCCAGAGATGTGCCGCACAAGAATAAAAATATACTTAATACTACTGAACTGTTTAAAAACTGTTAAGAAAGCAAGTTTAATATTATGGGGTTTTCTTTCTTTTTTCCTTTTTTTTTCCTCACACTGCACACACACAAAATTCCTGCCAGACCAACACAGTAATCCTCTTCCTTTTCAGGGGTTCTAAGGGGAAGAGCTACGAAATATTTTCATTCTAGCAATTTTAAAATATTCTGTCCCATGTGTCATATTCATAACAAACCAAAAGCTCTGGAGAATATGAGTTCAGGAAAGTAAATGTACCCAGAAATAATTAGAATGTTAGATAAAGCCCAATGAGTTAAATATTATTTAGGGTAAACAAAGCTGCAGGGTAACAATTATGGGGAGGATAAAAACTAATCTTTCATTTCAGATGACAACGAAAAAAGGGAAATGCCATGAAACTACAGGGCCAGCAGTTACATAGATGGACAGACAGTCATTAAATACTGGACAAGGACCAAAATAAAAACTGTAGAATCCCTTATTTTTTTTTTTAAGATTTTTAAATTTTATTTGACAGATAGAGAGCACAAGTAAGCAGAGAGGCAGGCAGAGGGAGAGGGAGAAGCAGGCTCTCCGCTGAGCAGGGAGCCCGACGTGGGGCTTGATCCCAGGACCCCAGGATTATGACCCGAGCCGAAGGCAGCCACTTAACCGACTGAGCCACCCAGGCGCCCCCCTTCATTATTTTCTTTAAAACAGAGATTTCAATTTACTTGCGAGAGTTTATCGTAGTGATAAAAAGGGGAGAATACCATCACAAATCTCATCTAGTCCTAAGAGTGTAACATTGTTTTAGAAAATACACCCAAGGTCGTAAAGGGATACATGAAAATCTACTAAAATAATGTACAGATCAAATAAAACTTAAAACTAAGGAATAAAATAATTCATTACTGATGTTAGTACAGTTCATTACAGGACTGCCATTTTATGTGAATAACTTAATTTCTAAAATGAATCCTGAAAGAAACAGATATTCAGTGCTTATTATGCCTTGTTTCTTAGGAAAAATAGAAAATGCATAATTCTGCTTAGAATTTATAAAACTTCTTTATTTGGGGGATAAGGGCAAACTTCCCACAACTGTGAAGGTGAAAGGTATTCATACAAAAGATAGAAATAATTTTCTAAAGTGAAGTGTTGACTGAGCTTACACATAAAATGGTTGCATGCTGGTGGGCTTTTGAACATTTTCACAAGGAATCGGATGGATGGCATATTGAAAAAAGAAAAGGGAAAAAAAAACTTATTACCACATGCAAATATAAAAAAAAAGACAACTTCAACCAATTGTACCACGACCGGATGGAGGAGCCCGGCTGACATACAAAGACTAGTCTCTGTGTTTAGGGAAGCTTGGGGTTCTGCTCCTTTTACTGCATGAGAGCCTGACCTGTGAGTACTCCTTGATTTCAACTCTATAAATGACCCATTATTTCAGTTAAAATTTGATTATCTGAATACTAAAAGTGAAACCTGCTTCATGGTGACTAGCAGTGCTTTGCTTTTTAGAGACCTGAGTAAACTGCTTGAATGATACCTCTCTGCCTTGATTTGACTTAAAATGAGGCTGTCTTCTTAGTTACTGGAAGTACTATAGGTCACTGTGGGTACTGAAGCTCATACTATCAATATTGTCACGTTGGTTATACTGTCTTTTGTATATTGCCATAAAGACTTGCAGAGCTACTTGAACCCATTAAGAGTTATGTTCATATGCAACAAATTTTATCTCCAATGTATTTTAAATGATCTATCACTTATTAACTTTATTGTTTTGCTGCCTCCCTATTTGCACCAGTTGTACTTTATTATATTGTTACTATTTTATGGTAATTGCCAGATGAACTAAATTTTAAGTTTGGTGTTTCAGAAGTAAGTAAGGTGAATATTAGAAAAAAGAAAAAGTAAAATACGTGTTAGTTAATTCAACTGAAACTTTTTTAAATGTTTCTTTTAGACACAGTTAAGTTTTAACAAAACCTAATGAACTACTAATAGTATTATTCCCACAGTAACGTGCTTCCAATTTTTATTCTGTATGCAGCAATTAATGCAATTTTTGAAGCATGGCCTGAAAGACTCGGTCACCAGCAAGTCAAATTACAGGGAAAGATTGCTGCCATTGCCAAATAGGTATGTATTTTCACAAAGCAATGAGATGTTTTCACAAACATACCCAGAGTGCATTTAAAAACCTTGGGCTCTTTGGAGGCCACAGCAGAAAGTACTGGGCGCTGCCCTCCAGTACAGCAGCTCCGACATGAGCCAGTTGAAAACTGTTGGCCGGGGGGTGGTGGTGCTGGGTACAGCGCAGCACTAACACAGGGGGACAAACTTCTTAAAATTGCTGGTGTGAGGGGCACCTGGCTGGCTCAGTCGGTAGAGCATGTGACTCTTGATCTCGAGGTTGTGAGTTTGAGCCCCACATTGAGCGTAGATTACTTCAAAATAAAATCTTTTAAAAAATCGCTAAAAAAAAAAATCGCTAATGTGGATAATGTTAAAGGAATCATGTCTAAATACTGCTGACATAACTCAGCATTAAAAAAGAAAATGCTTATCCTATGTGATCAGGAGTGAGGTTTAGCGAAAAGGATCATGGACCCTAAAAGCTAGGCAGATCTGAGTTCCAGCTTGGGTACTGCCATTTAAGAGCTGTGTGGTCATGGGTAAAGTTCACAACCTCTTGATCCCTCACTACCTCTTTTGTAATACCTACCTCACAAGGTTACAATAAGGATTATGCAAATGACGTAATATAAATGTGCCTGGTACACTGCAGCTGCTAAATAAGTATTAGTTAATGGTCCAGCCATCTAGCTCAAGGGTTCAATTCTCACTGCATATTAGAATCTCCTGAGGAGCTTTTAAAGGAAACCTTTGCCTGGAGCCCACTCCAGACCAATTAAATCAGAAGATCTGGGGTTGGAGCCAGGCATTGGTATCCTTAAAAAGCCCTCAAAAGGATTCTAATATGCAGCCCAGATTGAGAGGCAGCGAGAATCTTTTCTACAAAGCACCCAATCAGTGGTAGTCTTGAGATCTCTGGTGCTAAGACCCCTACCGCCTCCCAAGATAGACGGTTTCATTCTAGAACATTTCCTTAACAGGAGGCAGCATCTGTCTCTGCAGTTTCTATTACTAGTCCTTGTACTGCTTTCTGAAAACACGGATCACAGGGTGAAATCCATCTCCAGGGTGAGGTGCTTGTTTCCTTCAGCTTGCTCCTATGACATGATTTGGGCTTTTGTCCCCTTTTGTTCTGTGGCAGTTTCCAAGTGTGCTGCTGGGATGAAACACTGCATTCCAGGTGAGGCCCTCCCAGCTGGCAGTAACACCCTTCAGATGAGGAGTAATGGTCTTCATTTAAGACACTCCCTATCTATGAATTTAACCAAAGAAGGGGGTTAGTTTTTGCTGCAGCTGCAGCGCGCTACCGACACAGCAACCACAGTCCATTGCAATTTCGTTTCTTACTGCAGCTAAAGCCCTTCCTGTACTTGAACTGATTTTGAGATCCGCATGTAGAACTTCACCTACTCGTCTACTGATTTCCCTCTTTCATTCAGTAATATTCACTGGGCTGAGCACTTGGTACACAGAGGCAAACGAAAAGGACTTGGTTCCTAACCCTAACGGAGTTTAAAATACAGCACGGGAGAAGGGGAAAAAAAAAAAAAAAAGAACCACTTACAGAGGAGTCCTCGCAGTCGTTTTGGCTATCTGAGCTCTCAAAATCCTATCACTTGCCATCAAGTTCCCTTTCATCGGGGGCTATGAGAGGTTTCTACCTGAGCTTCTGCAAGCTCCCCACTCAACCACACAAGGCAAATCCCTCCTTCAGGCACCCTTTTCCTCTTCCTGGTAATCTAGATCGCAGCTTCATTTTTTGGCAGCCTGCCTTTCTTCCTAGATGGCCCTTTCCTTTTAGAAACTCAGATCACCAGAAGCATGCCTGTAAATTTCTATAAATGTTGTCGACATCGGTCTTCCTGCAGTTGAGACACAGGACAGACTAGACTTGGTCCTCCTGCCTCCCTTCCTCCAAGGACCTGAACTCTGCAGACAGGCTCTTACCAGGGATTACATAACTTCCTCTTCACCAGTTGGTTCCTCTTTCCTGGAATCAATTTTCCCCTTTTGACAACATTTTAAACTGGAATTTTACCCTCAGTGACATGATTTCTTCTTGATCAAATTATAGATAGAATATTAAGAAAGGCTAAGTTCTTCCAAATGTTTTTTCTCTGTGTACCATGCCACATCAAGAAGTTACTATAATTCAAATCCACTTTACATTATAGCATTCAGAATTTGAATGCACATGCCTACAAAAACGTTCACTGAAAGCAGGATCTTGGTCTTGTTCACCTTTGTTTTCCATGTAGTATTTAGCCAGGTGTGAAATATTTACTAAAATGAGATTAGTCCAAAGGTTTTTTTTTTTTTTTTTTTTAAGCTAATTTTCATGGAGCACTTTTACGTGCTAGGGTTAAGTTCTTCATACCCGTTGTGCATTTCTACAGATAAGAAAACTGAGGTTTAGAAAAGATTAATTGGTTTGATCAAGGTCACAGAGTTAGGTCTGATTTTGGTAACCTTGCTCTGAACATCTTTACGTTACTTCTGCTAAGATGCTGCTGTAGAGAAAAGGGGCAGTCGCTCTAAGAAAGGAAAGGGATGAGACCTCCTGGAACCTTCTCTCCATGTCTTCTAGCTCCTTATGATGGCCTCCCAGGCTGAGTTCTTCATAGCAATCAATGCCCAGGAAAGGGCCAAGAACAGGTAGCATTAACATTCTCTGCTGCCACAAACAAGTGGAATCCACACTCTATCTCTTATAAGGTTCTAGCAACAGTTGCAAATTACCTAACCCAGGGCATAGTAAGCTGCAGTTAGTTATTTCAAAATCCTGGAATGCACATCCTGTTTTCCATCTAACTATCACTCTAGGTTTCTAGGTCAGGAGACTGCCTGGCCTAATTGGCGGCCGTTGCCACCTGACTTGGTTTTGTTCGGCTACTTTGCTCTCCTGTTGCAGTGTTAGAATAGTCTGCTTAAGGAGGCAGGTGCTCTGCTCTCTTGGTCTTTGTCTGCCTGCCCTGTAAGCAAATGATTTTAATACACCCAACTCGGTCTTAGGTTGCAAAGGAAGACACTGAGGACTCTCTCCTCTATTCCCACCATGGAATACTGCCACAGTTTATCTGTCCTAGGCTGTGTGGTAGCCCTTGTCAAAATGAATGATTGCCATATCCAAGGGAAGGCGTCAAGGCAGGAAGCTGGGCAGGGGTCAGCAGTGGGCCCAGCTCACTCATGGCTGTAACTACCTTTAGGGAAATTGACCCTTATCTTTGAGCAGTGTGAGCTGTCATTTCTCTTCACCTCCGTCTCTATTCCTATAACAAACTCCCTATGGAAGTTTAAATAAAACAAACCTTGAACGTATACCGCAGCCATAGGAAAGGTTAGAGCACAACATTCCCTAAGGCTCTACTACATTTACTGCTTGTTTGGTGATACCGTAATGCTGCTATATACCTAGCGTAGATGGTTAAAGTTTCTCACGTCTAAAAATGAATGATTTATTATTTGGGCTTCGAGTTATAGTGACTGTTATTAAAATGGCAAATGACTCGATGTTGCATTCTGTTGTAGGAAAAATCTGAAGACATAAAAGTTACACACAAGGAACATGTCATTTAGCGCCTCCGCTTTTTGATCCCTACACCGGACAATGAGAGGTCACATGGTAACAATGCTGAATGCTACAGCCCGCAGCTGGCCTTCCTCCTCCCAGAAATGTAGCTTTATGGCTAATCGCAGCAACCAATTGCTGAACCTCTCAGGAGACCCAAATACTACTACTGCCTGTTCCATGGATGAGAAACTACTTTCTAGCCTGTTAACAATATCCTACTCTGTCATTTTCATCGTGGGACTGGTTGGAAACATAATTGCCCTCTATGTATTTCTGGGTATCCACCGCAAAAGAAATTCCATACAGATTTACCTACTGAATGTAGCCATTGCAGATCTCTTACTGATCTTCTGCCTGCCTTTCCGAATAATGTATCACATTAACGGGAACCAGTGGACACTCGGTGTGATCCTTTGCAAGGTTGTGGGAACACTATTTTATATGAACATGTACATTAGCATTATTTTGCTTGGATTTATCAGTTTGGATCGCTACATAAAAATTAATCGGTCTATACAACAACGGAGGGCAGTAACAACCAAACAAAGTGTTTACGTTTGCTGTACAGTATGGACAGTTGCTCTTGCTGGATTTTTAACTATGATTACTTTAACCCTTAAGAAAGGAGATCATAATTCCACAGTGTGTTTCCATTATAGAGAGAAGCATAATGCCAAAGGAGAAGCAATTTTTAACTACGTTCTTGTGGTAATGTTCTGGCTAATTTTCTTACTAATAATCCTTTCATATATTAAGATCGGCAAGAATCTACTGAGGATTTCCAAAAGGAGGTCAAAATTTCCCAACTCTGGTAAATATGCCAAAACAGCCCGAAATTCCTTTATCGTACTTATCATTTTTACTGTATGTTTTGTTCCCTATCATGCCTTCCGATTTGTCTATATATCTTCACAGCTAAATAGGCCGTCTTGCTATTGGAAGGAAATCATTCACAAAACCAATGAGATCATGTTGGTTTTCTCATCTTTCAATAGCTGCTTAGATCCAGTCATGTATTTCCTGATGTCCAGTAACATCCGCAAAATAATGTGCCAACTTCTTTCTAGACGATTTCAAGGGGAAGCGAGCAGAAGTGAAAGCACTTCAGAATTTAAACCAGGATACTCCCTGCATGATACATCTGCTGCAACTAAAATTCAGTCTACTTCTTAAAGCACTTGCGGTAAACACATGAAAAAGGATGAAAAAATACAACCTCTAAATTCCTTAAAGAACTAAAAATTATGAAACAAAGTTCTAGCATTTGCAAAGCTCAGATCTGCTCAAAGCTCTTTGCTTACTTGTGATATTTTATTTGCTTAGTTGTAAACTATTTCAAGGGAAAGAAAAGCTTATACTTATCACTAGATTTTAAATCTGTATGTAAAGTCTTTTCAAAATATGCTGTTAAGCGAACACTCTTAACATAGATTATAAAGTTAACTGAAATTTATGGTTTTAACAACAGAATAATTAAAATGTCATGGTTTCTCAAGTCACTAACGTAGTTACTCAAAATCAAGCACTTAATACTAATTTAAAGTGCATTTAAAAGTAAGTTAAATGATTGGCGGACTGACAAAAATGTCAGAAAATGCATGTTCTTTCTCATTTAAAGAGCCTGTATAATTTGCTACTGTATTCATTTATGCCTAAATCTTTATAACAGATGAAATAATAAATTCTAATTATAAAATGATATCACCCATTATCTATCACTTTTTAGATCAAATAGAAAGAATTTAAATACTGTACAGTAAAAATCAAACAACAGATGAGCTAAGAATTTGATAGCCTAGCAATAAGGACTTGAACCCACACCTTACTTAAAACAGATTTATAAGCGACTCAGCCATCTTGGACCATGCTTTGATAGAGTAAAATTGAAAATAGGCACACCCTATGATCCACCAAGTCTGATACTAGGTACATATCTGACAGAACCACTCAAACATGTTTACAAGAAAACTTATACATAATGATGCTCAGTGAACTGCTGGTTCATGATATCAAACAACTGGAAACAACCTAAGTTGGGTATCCATCAGTAAAGGCATGGAGAAATAAACTGTTCACAAAATGGAGTATTACACCACGCTTCAATGAAATGAACTACACCTGCATGCATCAACATGGAGAATTATCAAAAACAATGTTGAATAGAAAAATACCCCCCAAAACCCAACTGCAAAAAGGTATACACCATGTGAAATCATTTATGTAAAATACAAAAACACATGAAATACCATATTCTTTATGGATCTATAGATATGCAATAAAAGTATATAATGTGCATAATATCCACAGCATAACACACCAACTTAAAGTTAATGGTTACAGCTGGAGAGACTTGAAGCAAACATGGCAAAATGTTAATGTCTGTTAAACCTGTGTGATAGTACTTGGGTATTTGCTTTATTATTTTTGGTATATTGCTGAGTGTTTGAAATATTTTATAATAAAGAAAACTTATAGATTAGAATTAAAGGGAGCAAATTCTGAAATTTTCATGTATGCTCAAAATTAATTGGAGAGTAAGCTCTAAGAGAAAGGGCTCTTATTTAGCAAGGGCTCCTGGGAACTTAGTGGGTTGCAAGGCACACAGGTGACCAATAGGTATCTGCTGAATAACTGAATGAGTGAACGAATGAGCAGATGAGTGAGTCAGGGAGCGAGGGAGGGGGTGCTTAACAGAATTGAAAAACTGGGTGTATTTTATTTTTTCCTAGTCAATGTATCTCGATATAGCTGCATAGGACATCATATGATTGTAATCAGGAGATGTAATACGGCACCTGTTCTTAAAACTTTGTCCAGCATTTATTCAGTTTTTTGGTCACACAGAGAACCAGAATGCCATTGAGTAAATATGTAAAAGCTATTATGACAAAGTCCAAGGATCCATTCATAAGTTTGTCACAGAGTAGGAGAATTTCTTATAGTTAGAATAATTCTTCAAACTTCAGGTGGGCCAATGGCTGGGGAATCAATGTTAAAGAGTATGAACAATTTTGTTAGGGTTAAATTTATTTTAATGAGATTTGGCTTGTATACAATTAGTGCGCAGTCGTATATTAGTAAGTGCATGCTATTGATGGAATAAAGACCAGGTCAAAGCAGAATTATATTAAAAAAAAACCAAGAATCATGTGAGGATAAAAATGGAAATCTGCAGAAAAATTAGCAGCTCAGAAAAAATTTATATTACTTTGCACTGACAATGTTAGCAAATACCACCAAACTGAAATTTGGCATTTCTGTTTGTATGGTTTTAAAATATAACCATACTAAATTTTCCCTCATGTTCTCAAAGGAAAAAAATTTTTTTTTTACATTACTGGTAAGCATTTTATATCCCTACATGTCTCTACTATAAACATAACAGCCTGAATGGTTAAATTACATTGCGTGTGCGCACATGAGTGGGGGAGGGGCAGAGGGAGAGGGAAAGAATTCTCAAGCCACGGAACCTGACACAGGCAGATCCCACGATCCTGAGATCATGACCTGAGTGGAAATCAAGAGTCAGACGCTTGGGATGCCTAGATGGCTCAGTCAGTTGGGCGTCTGCCTTTGGTGTAGGTCATGATCCCGGGGTCCTGGGATCGAGTCCTGCATCGGGCTCCCTGCTCAGTGGGGAGCCTGCTTCTCTCTCTGCCTGCCATTCTCCCTGCTTGTGCTTTATCTCTCTCTGACAAATAAATAAAATCTTAAAAAAAAAAAAAAGATGCTTAACTGACTGAGCCACCCAGGTGCCCCACACAATGGCATTCTTTTAAAAAAAAAATTAAAAAGCACATTGAGTTAATTCTTGGTATAATATTTGTGGTAAAATAAATTTTGATAAAAGTCAATCTGAGCTTAAGTTTATAATGGATTTTGTTTATTGATAGAAGTTTCACTAATAACATGTCTTAGAGTAACCTGAATCCTGCAAATGTTTGTAAATTTTTAACATGCTACTGACTTACTGAATTTAAGCCTATTTGTTATATATAATCTTTTATTTCTTACTGAGTGTTAGTGTTTGCAAGCAGGAAACACTTGTCCCTACATCCCCCAACCCAACGTTTAGTTCTAGAAGCATGCAGAAAAAGGAAATTCCCAAGTATATACATATCCTCACCTTGCAAAAGATACTCAGAACAAGTTTCTAAATAGCATCTCACATACGCAAAACTAAACAAGGGCAAAATTAACTGCCTGGCTGCCAGACTGAGACCCAATGCTGAGTATTGCTGTTCATTTTGGAAAAGTATTCAGTGCAGAGCTGGGTTTGATGACGGTTAACTTTCTAGGATCAGGTCAACAGAAAAAGGAAATTTTGTTCAAGTACAGAAGGGTTTATTTTCAGCTTCTTTTTAAAATGGATTCTTCAGTCCTGCCCGTATAAAAGTAGAACTAATAAAATTACAACCCTTTGAATCAAAGCCTTACTGAAAGTTACCCACAAGAGAAAAACAGCATGAAAGAGTTCTCCCAACAAGCAACCTGGATTTTGCAGAAACATATTTTTTTAAACCTTTTTTTTTTTTTTTATTTGAGAGAGAGAGAATGAGAGACAGAGAGCATGAGAGGGAGGAGGGTCAGAGGGAGAAGCAGACTCCCTGCCGAGCAGGGAGCCCGACGTGGGACTCGATCCAGGGACTCCAGGATCATGACCTGAGCCGAAGGCAGTCGCTTAACCAACTGAGCCACCCAGGCGCCCTGCAGAAACATATTAACAGGCTATTTTTTTAAGGGTTTTTTTAAAAAAGATTTTATTTATTTGTGTGTGTGTGTGTGAGAGAGAGAGAGGGGAGAGAGGACATGAGCAAGGAGGAGGGGCAGAGGGAGAGGGAGAAGCAGGCTCCCTGCTGAGCAGGGAGCCCGATGCGGGGCTCGATCCCAGGATCCTGAGATCATAACCTGAGCTGAAGGCAGATGTTGAACCAACTGAGCCATCCAGGTGCCCTAGGTTTTTGAAATATGAATGGAAACTTATTTTACCAGATATTAAAATATATATATATATATTTTTTTTAAGATTTTATTTATTTATTTGGCAGAGAGAGAGAAAGTGAGAGAGGGAACGCAAGCAGGGGGAGTGGGAAAGGGAGAAGCCGACTTCCCACTGAGCAGGGAGCCCGATGCAGGGCTCGATCCCAGGACCCTGAGATCATGACCTGAGCCGAAGGCAGTCGCTTAACCGACTGAGCCACCCTGGTGCCCCATTAAAATATATTCTTATCTTTCAATAAGGAGAACTCTGTGCAGCAGATACAGGATAAGCTTATCACTGGAACAGAATACACATCTCTAAGCAGACCCTCAATGATACAGGAGAAGATAATATGACATAATTAATGTCTCTCAGCAGAGTAGGGGCAGGAACAATCAGAGGGAAACCTAAGGCTCTGTTACTCAAGATGTGCTAGAATCTTGCAAAATGGGGTTAAGTGGATTTTTGAAATCCTGAGTGAGTGTGACAAACTTCCCTCCCTCAGAAAGAACCACTACAAATAAAGGGAGACACATGAGAAGCATAGGGGAAGGAAGGGATGGATTAATAAAAAGTGCTGTGCTTATTAATCAAAAGTCAGTTTACAGCCTCACCTCATGTCACACACAAAACATTATGAAGTGGATTAGACTGTTAAATGTAAATAATGGAACCATGAAAAGATTTAAAAATAGGTGACTAACTCATCTGTGGATGGGAAAGAACTGCCTACTAATAAAACAATAGAAATAACTATAGGGAAAATGCATAGATTTTATTTTATTTTTTTTTGTCAAAAACCACACACAAACATAAACGCAAAAGCACAGAGTGGGAAAAACATTCACAACAGACGTGACATCTACGAGGAGAGCCTTTTAGGTCAGGCACCAAGTCCAGATGCCATAACTTGCCAAGGCACTTCTATTTTTCATCAGAAGAAAGCATTCAAAACTCAGAATGTAATCTGAATTGTGTCATCTCAGATGAGATGGAAACCAAGGCACGCTCTCACGTTGGCTGAGGCCACATCTTTTTTCAGTCTGGTTTGCAGATGAAGACAGGAGGGCTGGCTGGGGGGTGGTAACGACAGACTCAGAGCTGGAAAGGAAGTGCTAGGTTTGTCCTAAACTTCTGCTATGCCTCTTATTTCCCCCCTTTCAAGTTCACATGCAAGAAAATGAGAAGCAAAGTCAGAGATATTTATATTATAAATAGAGATGTTATATGTGCCTTTACACTGTTAGGCACTGGACACACATTATCATCACTTAATCTACACTGCAGTGGTGTAAGGAAAACTGCCTTTTACACAGGAGGGGATGTGAGTTAGACTCTGACTCCACAGACATTGTCTCCGCTAAGACAATGCTTTTTGTTTTCATTTCCTTCTGCCCAAGCCCAATGGTTAACTACTGAGATGTCTTTAAAAAAAAAACAAACAACTATGTATTTGGGACAAAAAATTCTGCTTATCACTCATCCAAACTGTGTGAGGTCAAAAAGCCAAAATCTTAAAGACTGGTTTTCTAGCTGTGGCACATTTGCACACTCCGGGAAAACTCTGCCTGAAACATGGACAGTAATCTTGTACAAAAGCCTACAGGCTGAATGGGGGAAAAATAAAGTTTTAGAGCACCTCACCCTTATTAATTTTGCTTCTGGCCAAGGAAATGCATCAAGAACCATCCTAAGATGAGATTTGGAAGAAGTTTCTAATTATAGTTTGAATATAGGTGTGGATGATACATAGAATCTCTTTTTGCTTTGGTAAGTCATACAGTTATTTCAGGATCCACAGTCAACTGTTACAGTTCTACTCTGGTGGGGTCATTCCATGTATCATCTTTTTTTTAGTTCTAAAACATTTCAAACATCCAAAAGAGGGGGAAAACACAATACAGTAAGCAGCAAGCACCCATCACCCAAATTGAACAGATGTTAACACTTGGCCCTATTAGCTTAACTGTTCTCTTGTACCCAGACATAACCCCCAAAGCCAGCTTCACTAAAGCTCATCCTGAGGTATCCTCTTTCCCAAAGTTAGTAGTATCATTCTGATGTGCATTTTTATACTTTTATAACACAGGTATATATAACAATATGCATTAGTTTTTGTTTTTAAAACGGACACAAATAGTATCTTACTACTACACCCTTTTTAACTTTTTCACTCAATTTCTTTTTATGTTGATATATGTAGGTCTCATTCATTCATTGCACTGATAACACAGTGTTTCACTGTGGGAACAAACAATAGCTCAATTCTCCATTTCACTGACAGTGGGCCCTTGGGTGGTTTCCACTTTTTCTATTAGAAACCATGGTCTCTTGCACGCCCTGTGCACATGTGTGGAAATTCTCTATGGTTGACACCTAGAAGTAGGACTGCTTGCTCATAAGGGTATGCGCATCTGCAATTGATTTCTGTTGTGACAAACCGCTCTCCAAAGTGATTTTACCAATTTATACACCTCTCCCACTAGTGAGAGACATGAGTTGAGACATGAGTCTAGTGAGACATGAGTTGTTTTCCAATACTTGGTTTTGTCATATTTACTAACTTTTGCCCATCTGGTAGGTGTGAATGGCATCTCCCTGTGGTTTTAATTTGTGCTTCCCTGATTACAACTGAAATGGAGCATCGGCTCATGTCTTGTACGCGCCCCCCCCCCCCCCCCCCGCCGCCATTCAGGTTTCTTCTTGGGTAAATGGCCTGTTCATATCTGGGCCTCTCCCCGCTCCCCCCTTAATTAGTTGCCTCTCTTTTCGTTTCTTTCAAATTGTTGAAATGGCACGTATTCTGGATACTAATCTTTTGTTGTTTATATGGGTTGTTAATCACTTGTATCGGTGTGGGCCTTGCCTTCTCCTTTCCTTATGGTTTCTTTTGCCAGACACCACAAGGAAAGTAAGACGTTTTCTCTTTTGCTTGAAAGAAACTTTCTAATAAAAAAATCTAGATAAACCCTGGCCTTCTGATACACAGCTCTCAAAGACCACGCTAAAGAATTTGCAGACAGAATTATGATTAGCTTGGCATTTCAAAGTGGAGTCCAGATGAGACATTCCCTGAGAACATAGAAATGTTTTCTTAGAGTTACACTACAAAATTCAAACATCTGAGTACAGATGTGCAAATGATTTGAAAGCACAGAAAGTCTGCTGGGCCAGGAGGTGACCTGCTAAATGTATCCACATAGGAAGATGTTGGCATTGACCATCCAGACACAGTCCAGAAGAGTCTTGAGCACTGGAGCAGTGTCACCCTCCCACCAGAGTAAGGCCACGGTGGGGATCACGGTGGGGCTGGATCCAATAGGTCTTCTTGGCCCAATGACATGAAACATTATTAAATAATAGAACTGAGAGTCAGCATAACAGCCAGGTTAGAAAGGCAGCTCTTGCAGCGAGACTGGTCAAGTTCAATTTCTGGCTCCATCACTTACTACGTAGCCTTGGACAAGCTCTCGTTCTTCTACTGAGAAAACAAGGAGTACCTAATTCATACAGTTGTTATGAAGACTAAATGAGTTAATAAATGTACCTGTCCAGGAGGAAACATTCAATATATGTTATCCAAATACTCAAATGTCAAGGGAAAATCTATAAAATGGAATGGCCAGAAGCTGAAGGTAAACATCGGAACTAGGAAGATAGACAGTGGAAGCTGGTCTGGAACAAGTGAGGTGGGGAGTTGCGGAGTAACTCACAAAGGATAATTTAACTTCAGCTTTCATGAATAACAGCACTGTCCAGGACAAGAGCGGTAACAGACCAGTCACATGCTCGTCAGAACCATGCTCTGAAAGTTGAACAAGTAGAAGAGGACAGTGAGGGCACCTTGCAGGATACCAGAAAAAGAGTTGGGAGAATGAGATTATGTAGCCTTAAAGCAGAAGACTAAAGGAAAGACATTACAGCAAAAATGGGTGTGTGTAGCTTCAGAGAGCAAGCTGAAAGAGGATCGGTGAAGGATGGGAGTTGCAAGAGGTATGTTTCACCAGATCGTAAGAGAGGGTTTTCTAATAATTACAGATCTCAAATGCAATAGAAA